AGGGGGGAAGGGGAGGAATAGTAGAAAAGAGCAGGGAAAGAGGGGGGAAGGGGAGGAATAGTAGAAAAGAGCAGGGAAGAGGGGGGAAGGGGAGGAATAGTAGAAAAGAGCAGGGAAGAGGGGGGAAGGGGAGGAATAGTAGAAAAGAGCAGGGAAGAGGGGGGAAGGGGAGGAATAGTAGAAAAGAGCAGGGAAGAGGGGGGAAGGGGAGGCAGAGTAGAAAAGAGCAGGGAAGAGGAGAATATGCAGGATGTTGTCATATCTATAAGTTCAAATATAATGGTAATGATAGATATCTTTCGGTTTTGGTTATTTACCCTTAAGTATCCCTCTTACGATACGCCCGATGCTACGCGACGGCCCCCCGAGTATTGAGGCGGGTGACTCGCCTCCGTCCTCCCCCGCGCCCCAGAAACCCCCCCCTCTTACTACGCGACGGTGGCGCCCCCCCCCCGCGAGGACACGAAGGGGACCCGAGCGGGTTTACTACTCCCGCCGAGGCCCCCCCCGTGTCCGTCTGCGTCGCATCCCTGCTACCCCCGATGCTACCCGACGGTGGCGCCCCCGAGTATTGAGGCGGGTGACTCGCCTCTGTCTTCCCCCGCGCCCCAGAAACCCCCCCCTGCGAGGACACGAAGGGGACCCGAGCTGGTATACTACTCCCGCCGAGGTCCCCCCCGTGTCGGTGACCGATGAGTTGACCCCCCTTAAAACCTGCCACCGCCGCCGTCTTCTATTGCCTTTTCCGTGAGCCCCTTGCGCCTAAGTATTTTAGTATTGCCCAATGATACGCGACGGTGGCGCCACCGAATATTGAATCGGGTAACTCGCCCCTTTCCTACCCGCGCCCAATGAGTTGACCCCCCCTTATTGCCTGCCAGAATCCGCTACCGCCCTCTGTGAGCCCCTTGCGAATCGAAAAGTCCCCCTAGCGTCCCCCCCCAACAGTTTGGGTACAGGTCTGTTTCTTCGTATTGGCCGAAAAGAACCCAAGTCGAACTATCGCACACCCGGGACGATTAAGCCCCTTATTACTCTCTGATATAGGAAAAAAAGAATTAAGTTTCGACTTCAATTGTTTATATGAATAATAGTAATAATAATAATAAAAATAATAATAATAATAATGATGATGGATTTTTTCCGGTTTTGTTGACTTACTATTTAAGTATACTAATAAATATACGTCCTCACGTGGTAGTTTGCGATACCTTAAGAAAACGACCTAAATATGTATTTTGGTACAGTTCAACGATACGCGACGGTGACGCCACCTACTATTAAACCGGATGACTCGCACCTATCTCTTAGAGCCTGCGACCCTAAAGTTGACCCCCCCCCCCTAAGTATTTGCCAGAATTTGCCCCCGCCGTGTGTGAACCCCATGAGAAAAAAAGTCCCCGTCGCGTTCCCCTCCTCCCCGACGGTTTAACACCTATTTAAAAATATTCTGTTTCGACTACCGAGATATTCCCGACGATCGTGAAAAATGCGCGAGTCATTCGACTTGGGACCCCCCCGAACCAGAAACATCCTCTGTACCCGGCCTCCAAGTAGCTGGATTACAGGAGCACGCCACGACTCCCGGCCTCCCCTGCCACACCCTCTTTGTAAAAATATTTAATGAGAAAAAATGAAAGAATTGTTTCATGTTCAATTGTTTATATGAATAATAATAATAATAATGATAATAATAATAATAATAATAATAATAATAATTTAAAGAAGATTTTGAAGAACTTAAAGGAGGGAAAACCATCCAGGAAATCGCGCTATGTGGGACGGCCCTCATTCTTCGGAAAATTTTAGCAACACCGAAATTCGAGTAATTGTCCCTAAGGAATCGGGTAGAAATCTGAAATAAATTAACTTAAAAACCCCGACAAATAAGAGCCTTAGCGTATTTAAGAATGATAATAATAATAATAAAAATAATAATAATAATAATAATAATGATAGATTTCTTTCGGTTTTAGTTTTATTATTGGTTTATTTACTTTTAAGTATATCCCTCTTGACGCGGTAGTTTACGATACCTTAAGAAAACGACCTAAATATGCATTTTGGTATAGTCCGACGATACGCGACGGTGGCGCCACCGACTATTAAACCATATGATTCGCACCTATCTCGTAGAGCCTGCGACCGTAAAGTTGACCCCCCCCCCTTAGTACCTGCCAAAGTTCTCCCCCGCCGTATGTGAACGCCTTACGAATCGAAAAGTCCCCCTCGCGTCCCCCCCAGCAGTTTGGGTACAGGTCCGTTTCTTCGTATTGGCCGAAAAGAACCCAAGTAGAACTATCGCACACCCGGGACGATGAAGTCCCTAATTACTCTCTGAGATCGGCGAAAAATATTCGGTTTCGACTACCGAGATATTCCCGACGATTGTGAAAAATGCGCGAGTCGTTCGACTTGGGACCCCCCCGAACCAGAAACATCCTCTGTACCCGGCCTCCAAGTAGCTGGATTACAGGAGCACGCCACGACTCCCGGCCTCCCCTGCCACACCCTCTTTGTAAAAATATTAAATGAGAAAAAAGGAAAGAATTGTTTCATGTTCAATTATTTATATGAATAATAATAATAATAATAATAATAATGATAGATTTTTTTCGGTTTTGTTTATTTTCTTTTAAGTATACTAATAAATACCCGTCCTGACGTGGTAGTTTGCGATACCTTAAGAAAACGACCTAAATATGTATATTGGTACAGTTCGACGATACGCGACGGTGGCGCCACCGTATATAAAGCGGATGACTCGCCCCTTTCCTCCCATGTACCTATCTCGCAGGGCCTGCGACTGTAAAGTTGACCCCCCTTAGTACCTGCCAGAATCCGCCCCCGCCCTCTGTGAGCCTCTTGAGAATCAAAAAGTTCCCCTCGCGTCTTCCCCCAACGGTTGGGCACCTATCTTGTGGATCCTGCGACCGATGAGTTGCCCCCCTTAGTACCTGCCAGTGTTCGCCCCCGCCGCGTGTGAGCCCCTTACGAATCGATAAGTCCCCCTCGCGTCCCCCCCCAACAGTTTGGGTATAGGTCTGTTTCTTCGTATTGGCCGAAAAGAACCCAAGCCGAAGTATCGCACACCCGGGACGATGAAGTCCCTGAATACTTTGTGCGATCGGCGAAAAATATTCGGTT